TGTGCACTTTGTCCTTTTTGTTGCACAACTCTGAGTTCTCTCTATATTCCCCTCAGTGTTTCGTCCGTGCTTTAAATAAGCGCTGCTCATGAATAAGGGCAGCTTTCGAATAAGCGCCACACCTTTACATAGAAAATAAAATAAGTGTCGCGGCGCTTAATTGATCATTTACGGTATGTGTTTCTGTACATGTTTACCCTAAGCTGCTAAGAAAAAATAACAGGCTTTACTGATGGTCAGCAAGTTACATATAAATCTTAATTAACAAACTATACAAGCTTTACAAATACTATTCACTGATAAATAAAAACGTTTTTCAATTTCAAATATCTCCATCAGAATCCATACAAATGATGTTTGGGAGGGTTCTGTCAAATTCATGTAGAGGAGGTACACGTGTGAGAAAAACACATGCCACATTTGACTTGAAATAAACCAAAGCCCGTGAAAATGTCTAAATAAAAGAGTCCTACACGACAAACATAAAAGAACTTATTATTCGAGAGGGCTTACCGATAAACAACGCAGAGTATTTCAAAGATAACTTATGAACAAAACAAATTCAAAAAGGCATAAACTGAATGTGACAAAAGAAGGAGTAAACCTAACGTCCAGTTTCTGGCACTTGACTTCAGCGTGCAGCCTTGAACGGCAAGAAACACAAATTTTTCTTTTCCTCCCCTTGTTCTTTGGGTCTTCACTAGCAAGGTTGAGGATGCTCGCTTCTTCGCGCGTACACTGGTGCAATTGCTCACCATTTACTTTTCCTGTCGTCTTCGCTTGGCTGCCAGTTTTTCCCTGTTTTAGGGTTTTTTCGATTGATAGATTTAACCCACTCCTTTCTCTTTTCAGGGTCTCCTTTCAATGTTGGAAAAGGATAAAGTTGAAAAAGGTCAGGACATGTACAGTTCTGACTTGTACGATGGCAATTATGCGAAGTGCAAAACCCCTTCCTCCATTTCTGCAGCTGATATGTACTGCTACTACAGCCAACGACTGCACAAATCCTCATTTCCTTATGTAAAAATCCTTGTGCCCGCAATTTTCTTTCCCAAAACACAGTGCTCGTCAAAAAACTTAACTCGAGCAAATTGAAGCAACTTTTATCTCGACTCGTTCCCAGTCGCACGCAATCTTGTGATCGACCGCTTGAACTCCGAACTCGCTTATTCTCTCCTCGTCACTCAAAGCTTTCCATTGCTCTCCAGTTATTTTGTTTATATCCCACATACTTTTCCCTAGATTTTCTTCAGCAAGTTCTGCATATTTCTTTGTTGCATATACAATGAATCCATCGGCTGGGCGTTTAGGTTTTTGCTTTGGTAAAGTGTTTACTTTACTTTAACCACTTTATTGGCAATCATGTTTGGGCCATTCCATTTAATATCCACACCCCCCCTACGGACGAGGTGTCTCTCATTAACCCTTCAGAATATAGTTTTTATCCTGGACCCCCTGGAAATATCTTATTTTTCCTTGAGCACCCCTCGGAAAATATAGTGATCTCCCTTACAGTCCCTCGGAAATACCTATGGACGAGTTTATTTTCCCTAGATACCCCTCAGAAATACCCATGGACGAGTAGCGTTTTCCCAGATACCCTTCAGAAATACCTATGGATGAGTTTTTTTTTCCTAGATACCCCTTAGAAATACCAATGAACAAATTTATTTCTCCTCAATACCCCTTAGAAATAAATTTAGATTATGTAGTATTTCCCTAAGTAGTTATTGGTCAGAAATTGCCTTAACAGAAGTTTCTCACCTAACCTCCCCCCCTGATCGTTCCCTTGTAATTTACTTTGTAATAAAACATTAAAAATACATATATACGTAGTTATAGTGCAAGGGTCTTTTATAAATTTGTTTTAGCAACGTAATTTCGACTAAAAGTGGTTGTAAAAGACATGTAAGAAATTCTCTGGCCTTTTATTTCTTCGTGCAATGATTTTCATGTACAGTGTATAACGAATTACAAAACTGAGGATCACTGCACAGCATGAACCAACATCATCAACATGCTTCACCGATCTCAAATCTAGAACAACAGAAGAAATGTTTTTAAAATTTGCCTAATGTGATTTACAAGTAATCGCTACCAACATGTTGCATCTGTTACACCCAATTTGTTGCGCTAGTTTCCTCAGGGCCGATACTGTCAAGCCAGGTCAAGCACAGGCGACCCAAGCTCACATTAAGAGGGTGTTGCATTTGTACGAGAAATAAAGTACTGAGGTCTGCGAACCCTAAATATCGTTACATTTTACCTTTTGATCAATAAAATAAATGAGACATAAGATTTATCTTTGATATATTTCTGTTTGTTTTGGTGTGAATTAATCGATGTAGTCGACTTTTTGGCTATAGTGCGTAACCTCTGTAAGTCCATTCAAGCTTGGTTTGCCTGTGAGCTAAGCGTACCCTCCCATAGTTCTGAAATTTCTTCCATCTCATTGTTCTTGATTTTCATATAAACGTCTTCAAAGGCATTTTATCCATTCAAACATTGTTCAGTCTGGCGGAAATAATTTACTGCTCATCATGCATGCAAGAATTCAGATTTGAATTCAGTACTGGTTTTGGCAAAAAGTAACGGATTTATTTTTCAGGTAATCCTGTTTCCTAATGAAATCTGTGGGTGCACGCTTGACCTGGCGTCTGATTGTAAAGTATTAATGATGTCAATTAGAAAAGGCTTTGTTTCAGTCGAAGAGTCCCCGATACAATGCTGGGAAGGACAGGCATCCTGTAGACAAATTCAGGCTCTTCTGCATAAACTATGGCTATTTCGTCATCGTCGCTGTCGAATGACTGTACTTCTGCTTCATACCAACCTATAAAGAGGACATTTAATATCATCAACAGAGATGCAGGCCTTATAAATAAAATTACAAGAAAAAAGTAATGATTTCTTCTTAAATGTATTGTAATTACTTTTATTACCTTTCTAGATGTCCTTCACTTTATAGAACAACAACAACAACAACAACAATAATAATAATAATATTATTATTATTATTATTGTGATTTGAAGTATTAAAGAAAAAACATTTTTTTAATAAAACCCAAACCTTTTGATAACAAAGCTAACAATATAATCCTATTTACAATTAATTTCACTTAAAAAACTATTCAGGCAAAGCACTATTTATATTATTCCTTTCGATCAAAAAAAAAGAGACTTAATTTCGGAAAAAATTTCCATTAAAAAGAAGTAATAATATTTAAACAGAGAAAACATCCCTCCAGTCACAAGACTGCTATTGTTCTATTGCTGCAAAAGCAACAATAGAATTATATTGTTGCAAAGCAACAATTCTAGCAACAATAGAATTTTAGGTTATCGTAAGGATAATTCATTACAACATTAAATCGAAATCACAAAATGTAAAACTTGTAAAATACAACAAAAACAACCAGGCTAACGTAGAATGAAATTACAGCTTTCAAACAGTAGGGAGCAGATATACCATAAGAGATAACAAGAAAATAATATCTACCAGCTGACCACCCTGTGTTTGCTAGGTCATTCTCCGTCCACTTTACTTCTACAATTGCACCAATCATTGTGAGCTCCTCGTACCTCCCCAGTTTTTTTTTTTTCTGCTGATCTTGCAAACTTTACTTTTCTGGCCCTGATCTCTTTTTCCACACAATATTGATAACTGACTCCCTTCTCGGTGTCAAATTCGACTTCGATCGTATCGGTCTCCTTCAAGAAGTTCTTGACAGTTCCCACATACCAACCTTCGAAAAAAGTTGCATTTTAGTTCATGAAATCATTAATTGAATCCTGAACAGATCTTGAAAATTCTTGTGCGAAGGGCTAAACTAACGTTTGTGTTAACCAAATTGGTTTTAAATTTATATAATTATTTGTACAAAGTCTTGATGAAATTTCATTTATTCAAGCTTCATTTATAAAATGGAATAAAAATTATAATGCTTTACTTACACGATAAAATTTAACAATAAAATATCTCTACTCTAGCGCAATAAGTGTTTACTTACCCGTTCTCCATCCCGGTGTTCCAACTTCATCCCTCTCCCATAATATTTGGACTCTAGTACCTACTGACCTTACAGCTTCCAGAACGGTTTCAAGTGGAACTTTTTCACATGATGCAATGTTTTGCTGTTGTTGCTTTTGATATAGTAAATGTTCATTACTCAGAGGAGTCAAGGCCTCCTCAAGATTTTCCAAAGATAAACCATTCGGTACTTCCAGGAAGGCATTCTGGTTTTCATTAGGGATGGATGCACTATCTCTGGGTCTCACTGTATTCCCTGAGGGACCGGATTTCGTAAATAAATTTTGGATCTTCTAAGTACAACTATTTTTCAGCAGTTATTATGGATCTGGTCGCCGTAATTAGATTTCAAATGGCTTCTAATTCCCGATGGAAGGCCAAGTATTTTCTTCCTCCTCTCACCATGCCAACGCGAACAACGAGTTCATCCTTTGTACCACAATCTAGAACATTGTGAAATCATAAGATTTCTTTCAACTTATAAATGGACAATTTAGCTATATCTGTGATGAAATCTGGTGAAGAACTGAGATCTCCGTTGTACTCTTCAAGCGGGGTGGATTCTCAGAACCCATCTTCTCCACGAGACGTTTCACGCAATCATGTTTTTTCCCTTCCGTTGGTATTCTCTCTTTACGGCATAACTCCTCCTCAAGCTGCTCTTTGCTATTGCACTGATAAAGTTCGTCCTGGGACCAGTACTCTTTTTCTTTGTCACTCACAAATGATTTATCAAGCTTTTCTTTCTAATTTTGAAAAAAGGTAGTGACGTCTTTTTCGGTGCACCAGGTTAGAAATGAGATGCCTGACAAAATATTGTCTGTACCATGTGAGAAAACTTTGAACATCATTTCCAATATTTTGGAGGGAAGAAATGCTCCAGGTGTATCAGCAATTACCTGTGTGACCAATTTCTGAACTTTTTCCAGAGGGAGGTAATGCAGTTCACGTTAGCATGTTAGCTTTAAATTTAAATTCCCTTGCTTGAAAACTGCTCATTTGACAGGGCATGATTCTGAACAGCGTGGACTCGTTCTACTAGATTTCTTTTACTATGGTACTCTGCAAAAGACTTTTGTGTTATTGATTTCAGTTTCAATACCCTTGCTAAACGAACCAGCCACATTTGCACCAAAGGGTTCGATGGGGCCTCTGATGGACTATTATCCACGATGAATGCAAAGTGTTTTTTTAATTTGCCAGTGTCTGGGTTTCTGAACAGATGATCTAGTGATGGATTTCTTAAAAGAAGAAAGATTTCATTGAAAACTCGGTGTATGGTTTCACGCTCAAAGTAGGATATATTTAAAAGAGTAGCTGCTGCGCCTGTTCTCCGAACGCTGTAGACAAGATTTTGTTCCTTTTTATCTTCAAGAGTCAAATCTGTCTGTATAAACAGGTGACTCATTGGTGTGATTGCATTTTGAGCGGGCCTATTCCAGTCGTGATCGGGGAGGATTATTTTCCGCCAACTTTTGCCGGGTTTCTGAACAGGTGATATGTCGGCGTTTATTTTCGTCTTGGCGTCCTTTGAGTCATTTAAAATTTCATTGGGAAACGAATGAGCCATGTCCAATGTGAGATTCACATTCTGAGTGGACCAGTGTAAATTGATAACAAATTGCTCAACCCCAATTCTAGGTGGTTTGTGCAAGGATAGACAGGCGTTGATACCTCTTCCTGAATGGTGTCTTCTGGCCTGGTACGTTCCCTCTCGGTAATTTTGGCTGTAATTGAAGCAGGTGGACAAGCTGATTTTAAAACCCTCAGGAGCTAAAGCAAGAATAGTCTCCCTCGTGTGTCTCATGATAGTGTTACTGTCAGCCGCTCTATAAAGCACTGTGTCAGTTAGTCTGGGGTGACTTTCAAGCCCCCCACCCGCCCTGTCCACAGATCACCTTCTCCAAAAGCAAACTCCAAAATCCTTGCCAGATCGGGAAATTCTACACACTTTAAACTTTTGCCTCTACCTTTGAAGATGTGGCGCAGCTTTTCAATTTTCATTTTCTGGAGAAGCCAATTTCATTTTTTTCTCCTTGCCCCTTCGCTCATTGTCGGCTCTGTAACCTCAATCCCTAGCTTCATTTCCTCGAACAAATAAAGGTTTCTGAAAACAAGACCCTTCGAGTGCGAGAAACTCCTTTTGTCTTGCACATTGGCTAATTTGGCCATACACTTTGCACTGGTAATCTTCACCAGAATAGCTTTGACGGTGTCATGGTCTCTTTTAGTATCAAGATATTTTAACAGAGTCTCGTACGTGCTTCCGACGGCCTCCTCGACTTTTCTATTCACTATTGCCTGGTCCAATTCTATCAGTTGTTGAAGTGACCCAACAACCTTGGCTAATTCTCTGCCATGGTTCTCTATAATGTAGCCTTTCCCTTCAATATAAATTTGTGCTACATTTAAGTGTTTTGACATAATCTCAAGTAAACACGAAGATTCAAGGTGGGTCGACTCCTTCAAATGCTTCAGTTCTTTGTACTTTTTCGCAAGATCTTGCGTGGGGACTATCAATCCATTATTCATAATGTGACTCGCGAGAGATATCACAGTACTCAAATGGGCATGTTGTTTTGAGGACCCGGCAGAATTCAGTCTCTCTAAAAGATCTTCAACATTTTGAGCCAGAGACCCTTTAGCATTTCCACGTATTAGTCCTTTCATTTCAATAACCTGTATAATGACAGCATTTTTAGTCCGCTCCTTTGATCTTGCCAAGTTTGAATTGTAAGTAATTCCCCTTTTTGTATACCAGCGAAACCCGGGCCCCTTAAGAGGTAAAACATCTTCGTCATTTGTATCTGCAGGATTGCTATGAGTATGTGATCCACGGCTCCCCACTATTACATCTTAAGGTTTCACATCCAATAAAGATTTTACCTTGGCCTTTTTATGAGGCTGCCCATGCTCTTTATTTGCATCACTCTGATTGAACAGCCGTTTTTGCCTACCCGATTTAATTATGTTTGGTGAATTGTTAGGAACTTTTCTGTCACCAGGATCTTCTACTTTCGGTAAATGCCATTTTGTTTTAGACAATGAACTCTCTACAGTGTCCGGACAGGAGGAAGTTGGAGATG